GTACTGTGGGCTCACAGCCTGAGAATATTGCAGTGCCAGTCCTGCCTCTGATGCCCAGTCTGTGTTGAGGGTACTGTGGGCTCACAGTCTGAGAAGAAGTATGCTGTCAGTGATCACTCATATCTATCACCTGATGGAACACAGTCTGCAGCGTAGTTCTCTTTTCTTCTTCTAAAATCATTTATTTTTGTAATAATATGTCTTTGACTGATTTTACTCTTTTTCCATAACAAAATCATGCATGTGTTCCTGGGTCTAAAGGGAGCAGTTTATCAGTGTGGCCCTATTGAGGCTGGTTTCATTGGCTTTATTGTACTTTAACGAGTTGATTATTATGACATCTCCTGCCTTCTTTGCATTTTTTTAAACCACTGCTGCTCTGTTGTGACTGATCTCTCCAGAACACTGTTTTCTTCAGTTAGCTGTTACAAGTGGAATGCCATTCGCATAATACATACCATCTGTATATTACACTTTTCTCTTGGTTTTGATTGTTGATATTGCCATTGAAGTTTGATTCTTGGATTGATACTTGAACCGGTCATTGATCTTCAGTCTGGGCTTCGATAACGCTGTCTTCTACATTGCAGGCATATTACCAGGGACCACCCTGTCTCTCCAGTTCAACATGAATCTAAGTACAAACAAAGGTCTTGATGATGTGGGGTCCAAGGTCTCCGAGACCTTTAAGGCTGGACTTACTGAGCAGGTGAGAGTGTGTGAAGATTGACCTATATTAGAATCTAGAGTATTGACATAATAACAGCATAGAGAGTAGTGGACCTCATACCAGATTCCTGCAGAACCTCACTAAATTCATCATTGATATTCTAAGGAAGAGCAGTGGTCCTATTAGAGATTCATGTGGTACTTCCCTCATTACATCTTTGAGTTGTTAGACAACTGTCAGGATCGGCTAGCCAAGAGACAACAGTCACTGCTAGTTCCTGTACCTGTAGGACAGGGTGCTCAGACAAGAGCCAGAGATGGTGTCATCTCCAGAGCATCTCCAATTCTCTTGCAGGTGAACAATGTGTACAAGGAAAAATATCTCACCACATTCCTTCAATCTGAAGTGGAGAAGATAGAAGTCGGGTAGGTGCTGGGCTGTGCCTTTGAGGCTGGTTTAGGGATGTAACTGGACCCATGTGTAATCCCATGTCTCCCATGTGGGAGGTGAGAACACCCATGAGATCGTTATTCCCAATGATCCTGGTGGAGCTCCTGAGGCTCCTCCTGTGTCCCAGTCAGGAGCAGCACAGGACGATCAACAGCTGGAATCATGTCTATTCTGTCTGAATCTG